CGTAGCTAAATTTCGGGAAACTGGGTCAGTCGCCACTAAAAAACGCAACATTGAAAATCCCATAAGGAACGAAGCAATAGAAGTGGGGGTTTTAGGGCCAGTTTATGTAGATCCTACGTTAAGTACCCGCAAATTGGAGACTGTGTGTGGTGTTAGTCGACGGACTGTCCAACGGATTCTAAAGGCCCATAGTTTTCATCCGTATAAAATTCACCTGGTACAAGAACTTAATCAAGACGATTTTGATCGGCGATTACAATTTTGGGAAGATATGAGTGAACGAATTATAAACGATGAACATTTTCTATTCAACAATTGCTTTTCCGACGAATGTTCTTTTTTCTTAAATGGCGTAGTAAATCATCAAAACTGCCGATATTGGTCCGATTCTAATCCCAGAATTTATCATGAGGTTCATACACAGCAGCGACAAAAATTAAATGTTTGGACTGGTATTTTTGGTGATCATTTAGTTGGTCCTTTTTTCTTACCTGGAAATTTGTCCGGTGAAATGTATTTGGAATTATTGGAAGACGCCATAGATCCTGCATTAACAGTCATAATTGAAAATCAGAATGATCGCCGGTACATTGCGAATAGGTTGATGTTCCAACAGGATGGTGCCCCACCACATGACGCATTACGTGTTCGACAATATTTAGATCAGACGTTTCCAGATCGATGGATTGGTAGAAGAGGTGCCATTGAATGGCCCTCAAGATCGCCAGATTTATGACCTTTGGATTTCTTTATGTGGGGTCATTTAAAAAGCAAAATCTATGCTACTCAGCCAACATCATTAGAAGACCTGCTACAAAGAATTGTAAATGAGTGCCTTCAAATTACGCTTCAAATATTGCAAATTGTGCGGCAACGTTTATTATTGCATGAAGAATCATGGTGGCCATTTTCAACATTTTTGCCTAACGGGTCAGTTCATTCTTCATTTTTAAATTACTTTATTGCCAAATGTATTGATCTCCACCAATGATGATGTATTAGTTTTATTTAAGCTTTAAATCAATAAATCTTCAAAACTACTGAACTGAAGTACATTAATTTTATATCATTATAAGGGGAATTGAAAGACCTTTAAAATAAGGTATCACTCGACCCCCCCTGCATTTAAGATTTTGGGGGTGGTGTCACCCCCGCTTAGGGGGCTGCACGTGGTATCGTGATTTTTTGCCAAACTTGTGCCCCCCTCGAAAACAAAATCGACGGGTCTGAGCGTTTTTCAAAAAAAAAACTGAGCTGCCAGTAAATGCGTCTGTTTCATTTTCGATACGCCACCCTATATTTATAGGGTATATATATATATATATATATAGCCATATAATGTAATGTACACACATAAATATATAACAAACCAAAACCTCTAGAGAAAGGCGTAAAAAAAGTCAAAGATGTGAACGTATAGCGCTTCGTAATTCCTGAAATCCACAACCGAAGATATCACAAACGCTCACAATCCTATTCGCATTATTGCACATAAAGTTTATTGGTGCTTTAGATAGAAGATTTGTCTGCACCGCCCTCTTGCAGAAAAAGGAAACTTTATATTGAAATGTCAATCTAGGTACCAGGAAATTAATTTGCGATAGCAAAACAGGACAGTCGATCTTACCATGCAGTAATTTGTATAAAAATATGATGGACGCCTGCTCTCTGCGCTTCTCCAAAGAAGAGACGCCAAATGCCAAATCTATCCAATAATAGTGAGTCCTCTTGGAGGATAGACACCATCACTCCTATAGCATAGATATTTTAGAAATTTTTTTTGCACTTTTTCAACATTATTTTTGTACAGTTCATAGATAGGACTCTAAATATTTGCACCGTATTGTAATCTACTTATAACAAGCACTGAAAATGACATAATAAGCGTTGTGTTATTGAAGTTTCTACAATTTCTGATAATAAAGCCATATTTGCGACAAGCATTACATATAATTTCACTAATGTGGTAGTTAAAAGTAAGCTGACAATCGAAATAGACGCCCAAATCTTTGAAAGTTTCACACCTTTCCAATCAGATGCCCGAAGGGTATTTGACAAGACTATTTCATGAGTGACAGATTATTCTGCATACTTTTCTGGTATCCTAGGAGACCATAATTACTTGTTATCAGAGGTATTGTTATTTTTGATGACAAAACCTGTCAAGTTTTACCGCGGGTAAACTCGAAAAAACTGCTGACAGGTGCTGCCATACAATTTTTCCATCTAGAAACTATTATAGTTCAAAATTGCGCGTTTGTGATTGGTAGAAATTAAGACGAGCGAAATTGTTACTATAATCCAGCCAGAAATGGATAATAACTGATATTTCAAGACCTTGTTTTTATTTTCAAACTCAGTATTGGCCACACATTGATATGAATTTATTCAACAATCTAGCTACACAAACATTTTGCGGGTTATTAATGATAAATGAAATATCGTCGATGATACAGCAATACCTCGTAAGCAACGTTCCCCTACAAAATCCAACCCGTACGTCCTCGAGTTCGTTCTGCGGGGCGGCCTTGGGCGCTGAACCGTGTGCGACCGTGTAGGGGGGGCAACGGGGTGCCGGTCTTGCGGTGGACCGCCTCGATTAGTTTTTGAGGAGACCCGCCGGAAAGCCGGTAGCCCGGCCAATCGAATGATTCGTTGAGCCACAGGTGTCTCGGATGTATATCTGGGACGCCTGCAGCTCAACGGTCATCATGGGCAATGGTACGTTACCCAACCCAAGGTGTTAAGCGATTCCGTGCCGAGGGGTGCGTGGCGGTGGGGATGCACCGTCTTAAACGGAGCCTCTGGGACACCGGGCGACCTCCCAGAGTATCCAGCCTTGCGTCCGTGTAGGGGCACCGCGGACGTCGATCACCACTTCCCCTATACTCGTGGGAACATTATGGAACCAAACGATGGAAACAATAATAAAAAACCCGAGGCCCCCCCTACAGGGGACCCCGAACATCCAGGCGACCCCTCACCAGGGGACCCTGATCGTACTCTGACAGAGGAATCTGTCAGAAGCTTAGCGAGAGAGCTAGCGGAAAGGGTGGGCTCTCTAAAGATTAAGAAAAAGTCTCGGCCAGGTTCCGAAAGGAAAAGGGCTCGGAAGCGGAGAGAGGCGCAGATGACGGAGGGCTCGGAAGGTCGGGGCACCACTTCTGGGACCCCGGCTGGACGGACCCAACCGCCATCTGGGCTAGACGGTGCGCAATCCGGTGTGTCAGCGGAGACCCTAAAGCGGCCCGGTGACGGGAAGCGGCAGAGGTCTGCCGGTGGGACACCGGAGGGCGCATCCTCGCGGAAGAAGCCTCGCACTGCGACGCATGCGCAAATTAGTTATGCGCGAGCGTCCCAAGCGGGTCTCAGGGTGGCCGTCGTGTCCGACGGTTATCCTGGGACTCAACTTACTAATGTACAGGTGCAGCAGGTCCAGGAGGCGGTCAGTGTGCTGATAGATGGGATCCCAGATGAGGTGACCCTTCCCAGGTACATTGACTGCTACCTCTCTCGAGGGGCAGCCATCTTTGTCTGCGAGGACGAATCCTCTAGGGCATGGTTGGAGGCCCACGTGGGGGATCTGCGGCCGTGGGAAGGCGCAAGGCTCATTACGATGAGCTTTGGAGACCTTCCCATATACCACCGCGTGATGGCCTGGTTTCCGGGTCCCAACCTGGACAACGGGGTCATCACGAGGAGACTCAGGAGACACAATCCTGGGACTTTTCCCAGCGCGTGGAGGATACTTGAGAGGAAGGAAGAGCCGATAGGTGTCCGACTTGTCCTCTCAGTTGATTCCATAAGCTGGAAGGTCATTGTAGGTAACGGCAACAGGCTGTGTTGCGGTGGAAGTTCGGGGGTGTTTACACTCCTGAGCAAGAAGAAGAGCAGTGGAGCGACACCTGCTGGAACTGGCCTGGCTCCAAACCAGGAGTCGGACCAGCCCAGACCGACGGGAGCTGTGGCGGTAGACCAGGCTCCTTCACAGGGGATGGGTCGGCCGGGTCAGCTCTCGCTGGAGCCACCGGAGGCTACGGACGTGGAGGCGGCGGGTCCAAGCGGGATATCCGCAGAAAACATCGTGGCGGACCCTGCGATGGATCTGGTCCCAGAGGAAAACGATAGCGACTCGGACGAGGATGGAATCCTGAACCGAGTCCGAGAACTCCTCCGTGGAAGCGGAGATGAAGGCGGCTGTGGCAGCGATGACTGCGGCGGCGACGGCGGTACGCCCGAATAGGGGTTACATACCGTCATTCGAGAAGGTGTAGGAAGGGCCTCTCAACATCCATGGTAAGTTTTAATTTCATCCAAATTAACTTACAACACTGCATAGCGGCTTCGAGGGCCCTTACTCAGGAGATCACTCGAGGCCGACATGACGTGGCTCTCATCCAGGAACCCTGGCTGAGAAACGGTTCAGTAAACGGGCTTAGTATACCGGGCTATACGCTTTTTAGCGATACTCCGGACACTAAGCCCAGAGCTTGCGTAATGACTTCCGTCAACTCATGGCAACTTAAAGAATTTACATTTAGAGACTTAGTTGCAGTCAGAATTAGATATAAGAAGGAAGGCGGTGACAGGGACTTGGTTGTCTGTTCGGCTTACCTTCCTTACGATTCAAGAGACCCTCCTCCGTCTAAGGAAATGGGGGACCTTGTCGCATTCTGTAGGGATTCTGGACTCGACCTTGTGATTGGATGCGACAGTAATGCCCATCACGTTGCGTGGGGCAGCTCGAACACCAACAGACGAGGCGAAGACCTGATGGAGTTTCTTGGGGCATCGAACCTTGAGGTTCTGAATGTCGGTAACATGCCCACTTTCAGCAATAGTGTAAGAGAAGAGGTTATCGACGTAACACTGAGCACGCTTAACTTAGCTCAGGACATCAGGGACTGGAAAGTGTCTCTAACACCCTCTCTATCGGATCACAGGTATATACTGTTCAAGACTGATGGAGAGATTCCGGATAAATATGCTCGGAATCCCAGGCATACTAGATGGGGGTCCTTTAGGGCAGACATTGACAGTAAGCTTGGAGCGGTCCCATACAGGCTTGGCAGGGGCTCTGACATAGAAGCAGCTGTCGAGTCTCTGAGCAGGGACTTGACGGCCGCATATGAGGAAAACTGCCCGTTACGCAAAGTACAAGGTAAGGGCAAGGCAACCTTCTGGACCAAAGATTTAGAGGATAGAAAACGAGCGGTGCACAAACTTCTTAGCAGAGTTAAGCACAGGAGAGGTTCTCCTCTATGGGAAGAATACAAAAAGGCATTGCAGGAGTACAAAAAGGAGATTAGAAGGGCCTCCAGAGAATCCTGGAGGCACTTCTGTCAGTCCATAAATGACATTCCTGCTACTGCAAGAATACACAGAGTCCTATGCAAAGACACTAAAGCAAGATTGGGATCTCTGCATGATCCCTCGGGAGGGAACACTACTTCCGAGGAAGATACTCTGAGGCTTCTGATGGATACGCACTTTCCCGGTTCCACAGTAGCGCGATCAATCACAGAGTGCATGCAGTTGCGCAGGCCCTCAAGGGAGGACTGGCGCACGGCAAGGGAGATTGTCACCTTCGAAAGGACGGTATGGGCAGTAGATTCGTTTGCCCCATACAAAAGTCCAGGTCTGGACGGCGTATTTCCGGCCATGTTACAGCAGGGACGGATTTCGGTTGTTCCTTACCTGTTGAATGTGTTTCGAGCATGTGTGGCCACGGGCTTCACACCTAGAAGTTGGCGGCAGGCTAAAGTGGTATTCATTCCTAAACCGGGCAGAGATAGATATACTGGCCCGAAGGATTTTCGACCGATTACTCTTTCATCTTTTGTGCTTAAGACCCTGGAAAGGATAGTTGATAGATACCTAAGGGATGGCCCACTGGAAAGGTGTGTCATTCATGCAAATCAGTTTGCATACCAAGCTGGAAAATCGACTGATCTGGCCTTACACAATCTGGTTGGGAGGCTGGAGAAGACTCTAGATCAGCGAGAAGTGGCACTCGTGGCCTTCTTAGATATTGAAGGTGCATTTAATTGCACCACAACCGACTCTATCAGACAGGCCTTGGTTAGACACGGGGTTGGATCAATCCTAATAGATTGGGTCCTCTCTACTCTGGAGGGTCGGGTAACAACAGCTATGCTGAATAACGTAAGCTGCAGCGTGAACGTAGCTAGAGGCTGCCCTCAGGGTGGAGTTCTGTCACCCCTACTGTGGTGTATCGTGGTGAACGAACTGCTCGTTAGGCTCAACAGTATGGGTGTCTACGTGCAAGCCTATGCTGATGACGTAAGCATAGTGGTTAGGGGGCGTTTCTGTAGAACAGTCTCGGAAATTATGCAGGGCGCTCTGCGCTCCGTGGAATCGTGGTGTAGGGAAGTCGATCTTTCTGTTAATGCTGAAAAGACCGAGCTGATCCTATTCACTAGGAGAAGAAGGCTTGACGGACTGGTCATGCCTACCTTCTTTGGGACTAGATTAGTTTTGTCCCAGTCAGTGAAATATCTGGGAATTATCCTGGACTGCAAACTGAACTGGAGAGAGCATGTGGAACACAAGGTTAGCAAGGCTCGCAATTCGATGTGGGCTTGTAGACGTGTTGTCGGTGTAAGGTGGGGGCTTAAACCCAAAGTGGTATACTGGCTCTACACGACGATAGTACGTCCATCTCTCTTGTACGGCTCCCTGGTCTGGTGGCCTTGCATTAGAACTGAGTCAACTAAGGCCAAACTCAATAAAATTCAGCGTTTGGCCTGTATTAGCATTACAAGCGCAGTGCGAACAACGCCATTGAGTGCAATGGAAGCTCTGTTGGATCTCCCACCGTTGGATCTGGTGATCCGCGGTGAAGCGAGAGTAGTCGCTCATCGACTGTGGAGTCAGGGCAGCTGGGCTTTCTTGAATCCGGTCAAGGGGCATACTGCCATATTAGTCGAATTAGATAGGGAGGACCCCGTCCTTCTAAGCAGGGGTGATCGTATTACCCCTAAATATCGCTTCAACCGCAAGTTCATTGTGGAGTACCCAACGAGGGAGGAGTGGGACGCCGGTAGCCGAGGACTCTCCGAAGTGAGCGGGCAGGTCTGGTACACGGACGGCTCGGTCACCGAAGAGGGCTCAGGTGCTGGGGTCTCTGGACCTAGAACTAGGCTATCTCTGCCTCTCGGTGAGTACACCACCATTTTCCAGGCGGAAATCTTTGCGATTCTGGCTTGTGTATCTCACATTCTGGAGGAGGGTGGGCCTAGGAGAAGAATAACAATCTTATCCGACAGCCAGGCTGCAATGAAAGCACTAAGTGCATGTAAGATTACTTCGAGTCTTGTATTGCAATGCAGGGAGGCTCTGGATTGCCTCGCAGCGAGGCATCCGGTATCGTTAATATGGGTACCGGGGCACGCTGGGATAAGGGGCAATGAGACGGCGGACACTCTGGCGAAAACAGGATCAGCCAGCAAGCTCGTTGGTCCTGAGCCAGCTCTAGGAGTAACCGCGCATAAAGCTAGGAGGAAAATGGAGACGTGGGTTGCAAGACAACACTCTCAGAAATGGAGAAGTATCTCTAGACATCTCCGCCAGGCACGAGAGCTCATTGAAGGGCCCAGTGCTAAGGATGGACGCTTCTGCCTATCTCTGGGTAGAGCCAACCTAAGGTTGCTGGTGGGACTGTTGTCTGGCCATAACACGTTAAGGCGGCACCTGCACGTGATGGGGGTGGCTGAGGATCCCTTATGCGAACGCTGCGGAGTAGAGGAAGAGACCTCGGCGCACGTTTTGTGTCGCTGTGAAGCTCTTAGCTACTATAGGCAGACTATACTGGGGTCCATTACTTTGGACCCTCAGGACGTAAAGGAGCTTGGACTCAAGGCGATTCTCAACTTCGCTAAAAGGGCGAGGCTTGTGATTTAAGTATTGTAGAGGTGCATAAGGGCCCGCTTAAGCGGCCTATGCACTGGCTCCTTATGGTGGCCGGGATGCCTCTAAAATTCAAGATTCATTCATTCAAGCAACGTTGGTTAAAACCGCTTACCTTAAAAAAAATGTATTTTTGTGCGTATACGTTCTGACAATGATTAACTTTGTCTCGCAGGGTGGTGTGAGCGCGTCAAAACGTTTTAAATTACACACGACAAATTAATTTAGTCGGCCAAAATTGCAATTATCAAGAAAATATTCGGTTTGTTGACTTTCCTACAAAATTGATTACTAGCAAATTACGCAGTTTTAACCAATATTTGCTACGAGGCATTGCAGTTTCACCGACATGTGTGATATCATCATTTTTGAGTCGCTTATTTTTTTATGCCAATATCTTAATCCATTCCGAGGACACATTTTTTTCGTTTTGGAAATTATCTACTGTTTCGGTTAGTGGGCATCATACGAATCGTGTTTTTATAAATTTTGGGTAATATTCCTCGATGTACTTTTTGTCCTGAATATATTACTACGTTTTTCGGAATTACCCTGTATATCATCATAAACCACGTCACTCATTTTGGTCGGTTCGTTTGTCCATCTGACACTTGTCCGTAATATATGGTCCCGAAATAGATTGCAAGGAATTTGATAAAATTTTTGCAAAAGTATTATTATACCAAGTATAAATAAGCTCTGAGGGTCCTTCAGTGGCGGCGTATTTATCAGGGAAAAACGAAAATGTTCATAACGTTCTCAAATCTCATGTTTCGCGTTGCTGTTCACTTTTGGGTATGTTTCATGTTTCATGTTTATTTCATTCACCACTGGCGAGGAAGTATTGCAACCGCGAAAAATTCAAAAATTTTATATTAGGTTTTTTGGATGTTATACCGGGTGCGCCATGTTTTATGTTGATATTGAAACATCCAATAACTTTGATATTTATCAACGGAGTGATTTGGTTCTACGTGTTTCTGAAACGTCAATTTACTACAATTTTAGTCATGAATCGCTTTACACCGAAACAACGCGTCGAAATAGTCACAATGTTATTTGAAAAGTTTGCCTTTAAAAGTCAGAATAGAGAAATATTTTAAATACACGCGTACCACGCAACGCGATGCATCTCCTTCGAGGTCTGATCGATGTCTGAATAGTGTCTTGATGGCTGGAGATGGGTGGATGGGTAGTGGTGACACTATTCATAGCAACGTCGCCAAATGGTCGGAACTGTCGCAAGGATAGGGGCGAAATTTTGAGATTGCGACGTGTCGAAAGGATGGGTACTACGAAGTCTTCCTATAGGCCTGACTGATAGACTGACATGTAGTTTTTTTTTGTTATACATATTCGTACCTAATTTTTTTCTCAGAAGGGCTAAGTTGTATCGGTTATCAAGAGATGCAAATTATGTCTATGTCCTTAGCAATAAGCTTATAAAAACCCCAAAGGTTGGTATTGTTACGCTGTTGACTTTATTGACAAGTACAAGGTGGACCATTTAAAGTGGAAGCATCAGGCAACCCTATATCTTTGACATTAGTTGACAGATCGACTAATGTCATACCGCGTTGGAAGCGTTATTTCAGTACAATTTTAACCATGGAACAGTACACACCAAAACAACGCGCTGAAATTATTCAGTTGTACATTCAAAATAACTTCTCAATCGTGAAAACTAAACATGCGTTTCGTAAAAAAAATAAAGTTAAAAGTGCTCCAGCTGATAACACTATCAAACGTTTATACGCAAAATTTGCGAACACCGGGAGTCTTAGTAATGCCACTCACCTGTCCAGACAACGAACAAGACGTTCCGATGAAAATATCGAAGCCGTACGAGCCAGTGTTGAAGAGACTCCATCAACATCCGGTCGTCATCGTTCTCAAGAGTTAGGCATCGCTCGAACCACTCGCCGACGCATAATTTGTAAGGATTTGAAGATGTTTCCATACAAAATTCAAATGGCTCATCAATTAAACCCAGCTGATTAACCGTGTCGCTTTGATTTTACTAAATGGAGCATTGAAATGGCCGAAAATGAAGATGACTTTTGGCGAAAAATCATCATGTCCGACAAGGTACATTTTTCGTTACATGGAGGCGTAATTAAACAAAATTGTCGGTTTTATGCTACCGAAAACCCTCAATTAATCGAACAGCATCCTCATTATGATGGCAATGGTGAGCGTTATCGAACCATGATAACGAATTTTTTGGGGCTA